TACATTGTTTGGTTTCCACGAATTTGCATAATTTTTGTATTTTCTTTTTTGATTTCTAGTTTCATTGAATGGTGATCTGATAATATGCATGGTATAATTTCATTTCTTTTACATTTACTTAAGCTTGCTTTATTGGCTAGTATTTGGTCTACCTTGGAGAGAGTTCTGTGTCTGCTGAGAAGAATGTGTATTCTGTTGGGTAGAACTTTATTATTTCAGTAAACAGGTTTCTTATGCCATTTGTGCTGACTTCTGATTTTTTACTAATTCCAGTTAATCTTAGATTAGTCTTGTTTGCATTATCTGGAGCTATTTGACTCATTTTCATGTTCTCTTGTTTTTTTAAGGTATCTTTCATTAATTGGTCACCAACAATAGCTCTGTCTTGTACTTCTGACACTTTTCAAATTGGTCATTTCTGCTGCTCATACTCTCAGGAGATTTTCAATCTCTGAATTTCTATTTGAACACTTTTTATAGACTCTAATTCTTTTCTAGGCTGCTCATTCATGTTTTGTTTATCTCTGATAGCTTTTTATTAGTGTCTTCTGTAGATCCACTGATCAACTTGCTTATTTGGCCCAATATCAGTTTACTTTATCTCCTGTAAGCTTGCCAAATGCCTTATTGATCTTTTTGTCATCTCTGCTGATATCACTTCAAATAATTTTGGCATGTGACTTTTTATTTCCTTCTCTTCAGTGCCCCATGGAGGTTTGGGGAAGTTGGGAGTTTTGGGTGGGATTTGTTGGCTTGTTTTCTCATGTTTCTATGTTTGTTTGTTCGTTGTTTTTGTGTTGAGGTTTGCTGGCTGACTTTGGTGGAAAGGTTTGTTTCTAATATGGAGACCTCTTTGGTTAATGTCTGTTTTTCAGTGGTGTTGTCTGGGTGTGACTAACTATGGACCTTTGCCTCTGTCCCAGGATTAATCACCTGTTTACTTGGGATGGGAGGTTGCAGTATCCAGTTCTCCAGGAATGGGCCACAGTATTCCTAACAGCCCCAAGGAAATACAGACCTTGGCATCCCAAGAAAACCAATTAATGGCAACAGCTATGTCACCTTGGCTATAGTAATAAAATTAACATCAATCATAAAATATCAAGTACAAACTGAGTACTGACAAATCCTAAGGACCAATAATGTACCACTCCATAAAAAAGAGATCTATGGTTATAGTGTGAACACTAAGACAAACCAATTATTGAACTACTATTAACCTCTTAGTACATAGTAAATATGTACTAAATAGAATAACTAACAATAGAACAATATTTGACAGCAATAATGTAAAATTAACTAGCTATCTATAGATTCTTTTGGTTTGGTTTGTTTTTTTTGAGACAGGGTCTCACTATGCAGTGTGGGGACTTACCCTGTAGCCCAGGCTGGCCTGAAATTTACAGCAATTCTCCTCCCTCAGCCTACCAAGTGCTGGGGTTACAGATATGCACCACTATGTCCAGCCTAGATTCTTAAAGGTTAAAAGTTATACTAGCAAAGATGGGGGTACAGGCGAGGAACCAGGGAATAAAAAAAGCAATATCTGAAAAATTAACAAATGGGATATGAGAAGGAGGAGAGAAAAGTGAGATAGGGAGTCCTCTTGAGGAGTAAAAGGAAATTAATAGTATTAGAGAACAGTAGAAAGAAAGAATGAACAAGAAAAAAGATAAACAGAGCAAAATATAAGAAATAAAAGCAAGGGCTGGGGATTTAGCTCAGCAGCAAAGCACCTGCCTGGCAAGCGCAAGGTTGTGAGTTTGGTTCCTGGTACTGGAGAAAAACCAAGAAAAAAAAAAAAAAGAAATAAAAGCAAGATAATAAAGAGGGGAAAAAAGTTCAAAGGAGAAAAAAAAAAAACTAAAAAAAGAGAAAAATCCCCAAACTCTAGAAAAACCCAATGAAGAAAAGATAAAAATAATAAAAAATAGAAAAATCAAAAAAAGATTGAGTCAATGAAAAAATTCCTTTGTTTTTGAATGAGTGGCTGCTTTTTATGATCTGTAATCTTGGGATCCAGCCAGTCACAATTTTCCCTGCCTAGCTTCAGGGCTATGGGTTTTTGAGATTCCTTCTTTACACCAGCAGCTCCTTTGTCTGTTCAGCCCAGACTGTGGTTACCACCCAAGCCAAGGCATGTCCTTGCTTGCACTGGTAGAAAAGAAATGTGACTAGCTCTCTGGTCTCTCTTCTGGATGTGGCCACAAGGCAAGGGCTCAAGTGGACTGTTTGACTTAATGTTGACAGTCATGGGATCTGGCTGCTCCCCTCTCTTTACAGGTATTATCCTCACCCAGAATGAAGTTGATTGGTTAGCCCTCACCTCTGTTATCCCACTCAAAGGAGAAACAAAATATAGAGCAGGCTTGCAGTTGGTGGATGATTGGGACTGTAAGGCTCAATCAGACCTGACTCTCCCAGCCCCTAGTCTACTTGCCAGCAAAGGCTATTCTCAGCAGAGAACTCAGCTCTGTGCTGAGTCTGTCATCAGCAACCACAGGATGTCATAAAGGAGATAAGATAGGACAAGGAATTTTGCAGGTCCCAGGACATCTACAGACACTGAAAATTTACACTGAATGCTTCAAGGACTTTGCCCACTGAGATATGAGACTGCTAGAGAACTTTAACCACAGATGTTTATTAAAATCTTCCTGCCCAATGTTTCTTGCCTTCTTTCAATCCCTGTGGAAGGGGCTCACTTCTCTTTGTTCCAGCCAGACGGTCTTTTCACCCTCTTTCTGCCTGCATCCAAGCACAATAAACTCTATGCCATGTTGCCATGTCTCCGTTGGCCTCTGCCTCTCTCATTTGTCACAATGACCTTGTTAGGGGTGGCACATCTGGGGCGGGCCTGATTGCTTGCATGGAAGGGGCACTGGGTGTCCAGCACAAGCCTGCTTTCTCACTTGTGGGAGCTGGGCACAGTAGTGCATGCCTGCTTGCTCATATGGGGGGAGGGTTGCTGGGAGTCCTTGTCACATTCTCACTCTTTGAATCTCTTTTATCATGTGAATACTACTGTAATTTCTTGAAGCAATGCTTGTGAAGAGACCAATTACAGTTCACTTCATTTCTTTTTGTCAAAGAGGCCAATTTTATTCCTAATTTCCCCAAAGATATTTTTGCCTTTCAGGTCTAATACTGAACACTGGATCACAAAATCCCATTATAATCCCCTACATGTTTAGTTCTGTAGTTTATTTTGTAACATTAAGAAATTCTGGTATATTTTGTCTTTGTTTCTCTCCTTTTTATTTTATCTTTTACAGAAGAAACTACCTCACATTGAATTATTGTGGTACTTGAGTTGCAAGCATCCTCTTAAGGATTCTAAATTACTTAAAATAGTTTACATTCTTTAAAATGTGCTTACCATATCATTGTAAAATAATATAATTTGTACCTTGATTTTTGACAAAATCAATAGTTTTAGTTTTTGTAACCCTTTTACTTCAATAGGATTTATAATATTCCCTCATTTAAAAGAATGCACACAGATTCAGATTATTTTCTAATTTGTCTCATTTATAACGGTTTTTTTTATTATATCTTCTGTTTCAAAACATAGGTTACTATTAGCAACACTGAAACATTTTAGTCTTAGGACTCTTTTGCATTCTCACACTGATCTAGACAATTGCTAGCAAGGTTCACACTGACCTGAGGTAATTAAATCAAGGGCAGCCGGAATTCCAATGAGTCTGGGGAGAAGCTGGGTTCCCCTTGCACCAGGAAGAATCCCTATCAGGACTTCTGGGAAACCAACTCGAGCCTATCAGAGAGATTGAAAGTAGAAAGGCCATTACATGGTAATAGTACCCTTACATTGTGACAAGAATCCTCTTAGATTTCCTCAACCCTCAAAAATCATTGTTTCACTGAATTCATCAAGTGTTTCCACAGAGCAAATCACCATACACTCTCTCCTTTAAGTAACAGCAGAAGCAGAGTTGTGCTGTGTTCATGTTCAAATACATTTCTCATTTCTGGCACATTTTTTTTCTCTGACATTATTGTGACCTGTTGCAGATACCCAAAGCAATGCTTTCCAGTAAAGCTTTTGATATAGGGATGATATTGCAGCAACAAATAATCCAAATAATATAAGGGAAATACAACTCCCAACCTGCTAGATGTTCAATATGCTGAGTTTGTGTTCCCCAAATCGAAGAATGAATTCTAAGGAACAGTGGTGTTTGAGAGTAGGAAATATTTAGTGAGAAAAAGATAGCTTCTGTCTAAGAGAGATAAAAAGTAGGCTCAGAAGGTGGGTTACCCAAGAGCCCACTTCTCAAAGGAAGTTTTATAGAGTAAAATCACAAGGTGTGTACAAAATCATGAGGTAAGTGTAAGGTGGGACAACACTATGATCAACCAATAAGATCACAAGTATAGTTGCTCAGGTAATAGTGAGCCAATGGGAAGCAAGTGTGCATGGAGAGAACAAGAACCTTTCCTGGAAGGGATGGGTCAAGGTCTTGGTCCCCCAACCAGGTGATTGATGCCTATTTAGAATATAGATCATTATTGTTTATCCCTAGGGGAAGTACGTAAGTGTAGTCATTCCATCTTTGTCTTGAGGCCTGGCCTTCAATAAATGCACATCCACCCACAGTTGTAATGTATCTTCTGCACTGACTCCTTCGAGGACATAGCCCTGTCTGACTGCTTATAATATTTCTACCCTACTTAACTATCTATAATATTTTCTCAGGGGCTGTAAGAGACAGGAAGTACAAGAAAATGAAAAGTACCCCCACAGAATGGGAGAGAATTCCTAGTATGACTTCTGGAATCCCAATTTGAGCCTATCAGAGATTGAAGATATAAAGGCCACTGCAATGAGATAATGTGTTCAGTTTTCAGATAAAGTTCTCTTTGGACTTCTCCCACTTTCAAAAAGCAATATTTCACTGAATTCAGCAAGGGTTGCTACAGGCCAAATTAGTCTGTGTCCTCTCCTTTAATTAACAGCATAAGGATAGCTAAGTCTTCCTGTTCTTCTGGCACATTTTTTTCTCTGAGGCTACTGTGACTTGTTGCAGACACAAATACAATACTCTCCAGAAAAGCTTTCTGGGTGGTGCAAGAGCCAGGAAGCACCAAAACAGTGAAAAGACAATCCACAGAATGTGAGAGAATATTGACAAATGATAGATGTGATACAGGACTTTTATCTAGAATGTACAAATAATTTCAACAAGAGTAAAAGGACAGCCAATTAAAATTGGCAAAGAATCAGATTACACATGTCTTTAAAGAAGATACACAAGTGACTAATGAACACATGAAAATATACTCAATATCATTAGACAACTAGGGGCTGCAAGTCTATAAACCACAATGACAGATAACATCACCTACTAGAATGAATATAAGAGAGAATTCTCATACAATACTAGTGGGGGTGTAAAATGATGCAGACACTTTGGAAAACAATTTGCAACCCCTCAAAGGTTAAATAAAGAATTACCACATGTTCCAGAAGGCCACTCTGGCTATAAACCCAAAAGCAATTAAAACGGATGCCCACAAAAATCTTGTATGCAAATTTTCAGAGCATTGTAGTTCATAAAAGCTAAAAAAATAGAAACAACACCAACATCCACCAATGATAAATGGGTAAACAAAATATAGTATATGTGTACAAGGGAATTATTCAGCAATGGAAAGGAATAATGAACTGATTCATGTTACAATATAGATGAACCTTGAAATTGCTATGCTAAGGAAAAGAAGTCAGTCATTCATATGAAATATGCAATGAAATGTGATATGAACTGTGAATATGAACTGTGCAATGAAATGTGATATGATACAGTCATTCATACAAAATCCATTTATATGAAACATGTGGATAGGCAAGTCCATTAATACAGAAAGTAAATTAGTGATTGCCTACCTTTGGAGGAGAAGGGGATGGATGGTTACCAATAAAAGATATGAAATTTCTTTGGGGATGATGACTAATTCCAAAATAGATTGTGGTAACTGTTGTACAACTGTAATGGCTTGTATTTAGATGTCCACCCAAAGCCTCATGTAGTCAGAGGTGGCTGAGCCAGAGTATATGACACCAGGATTGATTTATGATAGAATGATAGGATCAAGGGCACTAGAACTAAGGGTATGAGTGCTACCCACCCTAAGTAGCCTGGATAAAATATAAGGGAGAGAAAGTGCTGTGGTGAACCCTTATTGCTTTGCTACCTTCTGCCCACCATGAACTGTTTCTCCTCTGCAATGCCTGCCTGCCATTCCACCCTGCCTTGCAGCCAGCCAATTATGGACTGAAACCTCTACAAACTGTGAGCTACATAAACCTTCCTCTGCTTAAACTTTGGGTGTCAGGTATTTTGTTTCAGCAACAAGAGAAAAGTAACTAAGAAAATGACTCTGTGAATGTACTCTTCTATTGCTATGCTATACTTTTCAAATGGGTGAATTGTATGATAGGTAAATTATTTCTCAAAAAAGCTCATAAGAGGGGTAAACTGCCAGGCTGTACCTCAGTCCAGACAAGATGGTGTGTTGAGCTCTTAGCACACTGCCTTTCTTGTCATTTAAAAGTGACCAAAGCTCTGCTGGTCATTTACAATCACAAGGGTGGGAAGAAGAAGCTACTTAAATGCAAACTGCCATGAATGCAGACTGCTATCCAACAACTCCAAAATAGCTTGCATATGTGATCTGTCTCACAGGAGTTTAGCCTGAGTCAATCAGCATGTGCAGCATTTCACACTGTTCGTGCCTCTCCCTGACTTACTGCTAGTAACTCATCTCCATGCATTCCCCAAAAGGTCGTGGTGAGAAGGACACAGAGGAGGTACACTTGGGACCTACGTGCATCTTTACAAACTTTTACAAATATTACAGTGCTATAAGGAAAGAATTAAATACATTATGGTACAAGCTGAGTATCTCTTACTTGGACTGCTTGCGATTGGAAGTTTTTAAAAACATTTTTGGAATATTTGAATATACTCAGTGAGATTTCTTGGGAATGACACCCAAGTCAACAGTATATTCATTTATGTTTCATGTGCACTTTATCTAGATTGCCAGAATGTCATTGTATACAGTATTTTGAGTATGTCTCTCTTTGATTTCCACCCATGATGTGACATCAGGTATACAATTTTCCCCTTGTGGTGTCATGTCCACACTTAAAAAATTCTGGAGTTTGGAGCATTTTGAATTTTGGATTTTTGAACTAGGGATCCTCAGCCTTTATTTATGAACTTTGAATGCAACTATGGTCGATGTCTAATTTTTTTAAAAATTAGTACAGCAAAAGATACATTACCATTTATCTCCCTCAAAATTCTCCCCCTCACTTTGAACACACTTATCCCATCTTTTTTTGCCACTTTCTGAATCAGTTCTGGGAAACTTTTTTTCTGCATCAGTGTCCTGAACTGATTCAGAATGTTTACTTTTCATGTCTATTTTGACTTTGGGGAAAAACTAGAAATTACAAAGTTCCAGACAGTGAATAAGTGCATGAGGACTTATTCATGAGGATGCTCCATGTATTATTAGCTTGTGTTTCTTATGGATAGTACTCAGCAGCAGTATTCACTGTATCTTTTATCACACCTCATGAACACATTCATAAAATGGGAAAAAGACCAGAATACAGTATAGTAGAATGGAGTTCAACTCTGATAGCGACCTTAGAGCTAAGGGTAAGGGAAGAAAAGGGGCAGAGGACTCAGAGCAGCAGGTGTTTCCCAACTAGAATGGAAGTATTCCCATCTTAACCACCTGGACTATTATGAGGCAGACTGACATCAGTGCAGGAAATACCTAAGACTTGTCAGTCAGCAAGTTAACTGTTTAAAATAATCATCTTTGATGCTTATGACTACATTTAGAGCTTGCTTTGAAGAAAAGGCAACCCCAGATGGAGCTCAGCTGTTACCTCTGCGTGTGCGATCCTGTAGTGACAGCCCAGGGCTAGCTCCAGTCCCCCTCCTAAGGCCACGCCTTGGATAGCCGCCACCACGGGCTTCCCGTGTCTTTGAATTTCATCTACTAAAGGTCCCAATCCTTCTGCAGAGGATACAGGAGTGCTGAAGCTATGGATATCTGCACCTAAAGGACACAAAGACAAGGAGGAAAGAGTTTTGAGAAAGATTTGGGCTTTCTTGTTAATGTGAAGGGACTTGGTCACTGTCTAGAAGGCTCAGACCCCTTGAGGCCCTGGAGACACAAGAAAAGAACTATTCTGAGAAATAGAGAACTAAATAAGAGAACCAACAATCTTCAAATCTTTACCAGAAATCCTGTAACTTTTGAAGATCTGTCTTCCCATGTAGTAGATAGGAACTCAATCTAGAGGCAAATTTAAAATCACAGAGAAGAGGAACAGTCTTCAGCAAAGACCATCATTTTGACATCGATTCAACCCTTCTCATTTTTCACATGACCCTGTTCATCAACTCTTTTCACAGCAACTTAATCCCATGTCTTTGTTAAGAGCACAAGTCATTACAATATAAATTTTCAGGGTAACTGCATATATATTTGTCATTTATGTGTTAATCAACTAGCTTAGAATTAGTTCTTGATAGTTTTTTTGGGGGGGGTACAGGGAATCGAACTCAGGACCTTGCACTTGCCAGGTAGGCACTTGTGCGACTGAGCTATATCCCGGGCCCGCTTGATAGGTTTTTATGATTAATAAAAATAAAAATATTTCTTGCTCATTCTCACTACAAAAATAACATACGTATTCCAGAAAATTCAAAACATACACAAAACTATAAGGAACATAGGATCACTCAAACTATTGCCACACAGAAATAATATAAGATTTTGGCGAATTCTTAGTTTTCCCTCATGTACATGTATTTTTTGTGACACTGAGTAAGTTTTTGTCTCAATACCTATCTTAAATGACTGATATGAGAATTAAATGAAAAATTAATATATATATTTTAACATTGACAGCATACTGTAAAATATTATTTTCATATGAAATTATATAAAGTGACTTTTTCTTATAGCATTGTCTCTTGTTTGAAACCGGTAAGCCTGACACAAGTTTAAAAATTAGTCCATCTTCAGCCTGTTTACCTATTTCTCTTTGCATTCCTTTTCAATCTAGGACACATACTTTTTTCTCACCTATCCATCATATTTCACTTTCTAGTCCAATATTTTGTTTTGTTTTTTAAGATTGCTTTTGGTTCTAGAGAAACCAAATCTTGAGCCTTGAGTTCCTTGTTCCTGTACCTTTAGACTGAGATTGGTTTTCATAAATAAGACAAATTAATTTTTATAGGATAAATACATCAGACATTTGCTAAGTTGTTTAATATATCATCTCATTTCATTTGTATAACACCTAGATTGAATAGTGTAACAATTTCCATTTTAAAGATTGGAAAGTTAAGGCTTTGAGATGTTAAATCATTGGTTAAGACATATGACTAGTAACTGTTAGATTAAAATTTGCACTTGGGAGGTTTTGGTACAAACCTCAATTCTTAAATTCTGTATTACAGTCTTCTACTTATGATGTAAGTTTAGTATTAATGTCCCAATTTGAAAAAAGAAAACAAGGCACACAGAAAGGTATAATGGTTTCCCTTTTTAATTATAAAAAATGAGTATAGAGAAATCCAATTAATTTTTGAATATTGATTTTACTGATATAGCCAGGAAAATTGCTAGATTCTTTTGTAAATGTGACTTTATTTGGATATAGGGTTTTGCCCATGTAAGTTAGGTAGGTCATACTGCATGAAAGGGGTCTTTATAACACCAGGAAACTAGGCTGTAGACATGAAGGAGAAAAGGTCATGTGAAGACAGAAAGAGAAATTCCAGTATCTAGAAGCCAAGGATTGCCAGAAGCACAAGAAGCCATAAGAGACCAGGAAGGATTCTTCTCTAAAGTCTTTGAGGAAGAGTAGGCCACTGACATCTTGATTGCAAACTTGCAGCTTTCAGAGCTGTGAGACTATAAACTTCTGTCGTCTTACACCAACCAGCTTATGGAATTATTACAGCAGTCCTATGAAATTAATATAGGGACAGCTCCCTCTCTTTTGATTTTAACATTTGTGTTAACTGGAAAATATTTTCTTTGACTTTACAGGAGAGTTTTGCCAGTTAAATCATCTGGCCTGGAATTTATAAGATTTTTATTTACTGGTTGTATTTCCTTAATAGCTATAGAACTATTTGTATTTCCTTTTTATTGATTTAAATTTTTTTTTGAGACAGGGTCTCACTATGTAGTCCAGGCTGGCCTTGAACTCACTATGCAGCCCAGACTGCCCTCAATCTTGAAGCAATCTTGCCTCAGCTTCCCAAGTACTGGAATTACAGGTATGTGCCACCACACCTAGTTTTCTATTTCTTGAGTCAATTTTGTTAAGTTGTATTCGTCTCCTGACTCATAATGTTTTCACAGTATTTTTTTGTAGCAGCACCATATGCAGTGATAATTTTTGGTAACTCCTCATATGCACTGTTAGTTCTTTATTTTGTTTTTTACTTTGATCTATCAGTTTGCCAATTTTATTAACCTCGTCAAAGAACTAACTTTAACATAGTTGTTCTTCTTGATTCACATTTGTCTTCTATGTCATTAATTTCTCTTTATTATTTCCTTCCCTCCATATTTTTGGGGTCTATTTTATTTTTTGGTTTTTATTGTTTTGTGGGGCTTTTTTTTACCAACTATATCATATACATGCTTAGCTCATTTTCAGCCTTTTTTCTTTTTTAGTATAGTGTTGTAAAATTATATATTTCCTGATAAGTTTTACTTAATTTCATCCTCGTTGAGTTTCATATTTTATGTTTTCATTGTCCTTGAGTTCCAAGTATTTTCTAAATTCCATTATGATTTCTAATTCAGAGGTTAAGATATAGATTTAATTTATAAACACATGAGCATTTCTAGTCATATTTTTCTTTTAGGTGTCTAGTTCAATTGCATTGTCAGGGAATATATTCCAAATTAAGTTTATAGAGATAAGCTCCCCCCCCCCTTGGTATTGAGGACTGAACCAGAGGCTGTAGGTACATTAATTACACACTGTACCATTGAGCTACTCCTCCAAGCCCAACACAAGTTTTTACCTTACAGTATCTGATCAGTTTTTCTAAATGCTACAGACATCTCTGAGAAGAATGTATTTTTCAAATTTGTGGTATACCACTCTGGATATTCTCAGTAAGTCTAGTTTGAGAATTCCTAATGCTTTTCTAGAAGAATACAGTGGCATTTCCACTCACAAACTTAATTCATTCCACAGTTCTGGGGAAGATGGCCACAGCTGGCCATCTTCCAAATGAAGAGCTCATGAACAGAAGCAAAATTTTGCCAAATGCTTCTGTGTTTGCAAACAGAAGTGTCCCTGAACGGAGGTATCACTATGATCTTTTGAGGCCATGAATCTAATTACATTCTATCTTCTATTTCTGTCTTACAAAAACAAAAAAAGCAGGTTCACTGTAATTCTGATTCCCCTTTCTGTGCCCTAACACCATCAGTCTGGGTAGCCAACCTCAACATTCCAAACAGTGAGGAAGCCATTTCTCAACTGTTTAATCCTTGGAGCATTATTTTAATCTCTCAAACTCAGCCTTTTGATCTGTAAATGGAGACTGTAGGAGTTGCTGAAGATTAAAATAATATGCGCCACATTGGTTAGTAATAAAAGAACAACCTACACAGTACTACGTAGAGCAGGCAAAATAAATGCTGATTATTATAGTGACCATCATTTGCATATTTACTGACATGTGTCCAACAGCCGACCCTTTTCAAGCTTTTAACAGACATTAAATACCTCTGGCTGTAGATGAAGCTCTGAGAGGTGGAGGAGACATGCAGAACAAGTATACAGTACAGCCCCAGGTATCACAATCATCAAACCTGGCGCTAACTACCCTCCAAAGACCAGCCCACTATAAAAGAGATGAAGGCCAAAGTCTTCTCTGAACCTTGGGAGGGATCCACCCATATCCCCATTAGGTTCTCATTTTCCCTGTCCTCTGCCATTTCCACTCCCCGTAGTAAGTTAACACCCACAGGAACAGCCAGTGCAGTACTGATTTCAGTCTATGGCTGGATTTTAGAGCTAATGAGAGAGGGCTAGACACAGTTACCTGCACAAAAGTTGCCATTTTCTCCACAAATCACAATGGCTTTTACTGTATGGTCCGATGCAGATTTCTTTAGTCCCTCTCTAATTTCACGGAGTACAGCCGAACTAAAAGAAATTCATGAAGTAAGTTAGTCAGAATTAAGTTCCTACCATCTCAGAGCTTAAAAATGAAAAATTAAACATATACATAGTGGGTAAAGACTGTAGATACTTACCATTAAAGCTTTTATTCATTTGTCCAAATAACGTATCTACTGTGAAAGAGGCATTGGGTTGACTAAATAAATCCACCAAAGGAATGTTATTTTCCTGCACCCTGCTTTCATGTTGAACACTTAGAATCTGTACTCACCAATTTTAAAAACAACTATCAAGTGAGGTGATGAAGATGAATTCTGCAGTACAGGAACAAAGAAAGTGATGTAGGGGATCCAAGGGGGACAAAAGTACTTTCAATTTGTCATAATGGCAAAATAGAAGAAAAGTAGAGGAAAAATAGTCTACAAGATGTGACGAGCTACAAGTTAACTCAAATATCCATTCCTCTCACGTTCTTCAAAATAGTAAAACATTTATTTTTTAGTAGGGTACCTGGTATCCCAAAATAAGGACTGTGTTTCTCAGTCTACTTTAAAGTGAGGTTGATCCAAGGCTGTAGGTGCTGACCAATGGGATGGAAGTATATATTTGGTATATATGACTTTCAGGAAGAGTTCTCAAAGGGCTGCATATGCTTTTGTCTTTTTCCTTCCTCCATACTTGCGGTAGAAATGTAGACATGATTGCTAGACTGGGAGGAGCCATCCTGGACCCAATGGGAGAAGCCATGTATTCAGGTGGCAGAGCAACAGAGAGACTTAACTGGGGTCCCTGCTGATTGGGGAGCAGCCATAGCACTCCAGGACACTGCTGTGAGAGAAATTAATGTTTTACTGTTCAATTCATTATTCCTCTGAGGTTGGGGGGGGTTGTTTTTGTTTTTTTTGTTTGTTTGTTTTTGTCACCAACAGTCAAACCTAATCCTGCCTAACTTAGGAGCTAAAGGCAAGCATAGGGAAAGACAAAACATCTTCAACAGTAGATTTTGCTATGTTTCAGTATGTGAGGGTTTCATTCGCAGAAGAGATGGCTAAAGGCAAAATCAAATAAGTCTACGATAGAAAGAGAAAAAGAGCTGCGGGTAGTTTCTCTGAATATATCTTCGTTTAAGATTGACCAATTTTGCGTGCTTATATCTGGTAATCTGAGCAACTGATGTGAAGACAACAACATGCAATGTAACAACCTTTGGTGAATTCCTACCATCCTATCTAGTGAAACTCTGTATTGTCTCTAATTTTTTAAAAATTATTATTTTCTTATTCTCTTTAATGGTTTGATCAATCTTCCATTCTTACAACTGGTAATCTGAGCAACTTCATTGAAAATAACAATATGTAATATAACAACCACTGTTAATCCCTATCATTTGGTTTGAAACTCTGTTTCATTTTTAATCTCCTTGCTTTGTTTTGTTTGTATTTTGCTATTGTTCTTTTTTTTTTTTTTTTTTTTACCATTCTCTTTAAAATAAATTTTAAAAAAAAGTAACAGAGGCTCAGCACAGTAACCTAGCAGCAAGGGAACTCAAGCCAAACAGATGAAAGGAAAGGAATTTGCCAAGAAGATGCAACTAATCAGAACAAGGGAGGATAAAGTAGAATTTAAGAAAAACAATGAAGAAGCTGAGCCTAGTGATGAGCCTCATGTAATTCCAGCACTTGAAAAGCTGAGGCAGGAAGTTGCTGCAAGTTTGAGGCCAGCCTGAGATAGTGAGTTCAAGGCCAGCCTGAACTACATAGAGAGAGCCTGTCTTGAAAGAAAAGAAAAGAAAAAAAGAAAAGAAAAGAAAAAAGAGAGGAGAGGAAAAGAAAAGAAAAGAGAAAAGGCCAGTAAAGGAATGTTTAAAGGAAAAATGACATAAGTAGTCCAGTGGGGCGGAGGAAATGAATCACTCCTCTTCCCCCACTGGACTTTGGGTGGTACCCTAGGCCCAATTATCCTTCCATTGTTTTAAGAGAGGAAAAAAGTAAATGAACAAAGACCCAGGAAATCTTTGAGGCTCTTTGTAAGAGCCCATAAGACACACCCAGGCTGGTGTATGCTTCCTTTAAAAATCTAAAAGCCTGATTTACATGTGTTCTGCTGTTTTTATTTCTGTCACCCTGACACCACTTTCCTGTTTGTGCCCTCCTTTTTGCTTCTGCTGGCACAGACTTGCCCTGAGAACATCTTCCCATGATCTTGAATAAATGTAACTGTTTTTCATTTATCATCGAGTGTACACTTGCACTTCATTGCTTGCTGTGCACAAGAGGCTGGAATCTATTTGTTGGATCCACTGTTGCGGAACTCATGATCAGACCAGAGGGATGACACGGCGCCCAGGAACTTTGGAAGGTAGACAGCCTTATTACGCTAGCAGGCTGGGGGGACACCAAGGTCCAGATCATCAGCCCTGTCTTGGATAAAACAGTTACTGACATAGGCTTTTAGGAGGAGGTATAAAGGGCCAATAACAGGATATTTTACAGTTGGTTATACATGTCTGGTCATACATTGCTAGGCAGACTTTATCTTATGTAAGCTAATTGGGATTACTATTATATAATAAGGAGCTCCACGTAATGGTGAGCAGGAAAAATAAATCATTGTCTAAGACTGAGCTGAGCTGTCCTTGAGGTGATGAGTCTTTGAAAAACTCGAAAGCAAGCAAAACATAACAGGGTGCATTCCAACTGAGCCACATTTTTCTTGGAGCTAGTGCTAGAATGTTAAGGCTTGTTAAGTTTTATAATTTTCTAACTGTGGGAACAGGTTACGTGTCCCAATTCCATCCTTGTATAATGTTAGAAATATAAGTTTTAAGATTGCCTTTACATTTAAAATTGCCTTTATACCACCACATAGTAACAGAAGCAGACTACAATCAGCCGTGCCTTGGAATTCTGAGTCTTCTGGATTAAATCTCAGGTCTTTGGTACACAGGGTAAAAACAATTGTAAAACAAAGCAAGGAAGAACAAACTACTATAAAAGCCACATTGCTAAGACCGGAAACTAAGATACAAATTCTTAAGAAATAAGAGAAATACTTGTGCTGTGTGTGGTAATTCCCTTTAACCCAGTTACTTTTCACATTTTAACCTGCAGAAAATCAAACAGACCTTTTGCTTCCAACTGGTTAATTACAATCCAAATCTGACCTTGAAAAACAGACTCTGAAAAGATTACATAATACTGAGAGATTCAAAAGGAATACACAGCATCTGTGATGAATTGTTTCTGAACCACTACCACCCTCAGGATAGCCAAATCCTCAGATACTATAGTCCATTACATAAAATAGTGGAATATATATAAATAACCTATGCATATCATCATTTCTGGAGTACTTATAACAAATTCACTTAAATGCTACATAGTAATTACAAGAAAAAAAGAAAAAGGCCATATATTCAAGATACAACCTTCCTGGTCTGACTAACTATATTTTCCATCACCGGTTATTATGTCAGATTTGAACCTAGGGGTACAGTGGGCAATTCTCCTGCCATGTGAGTATCAGGTAGTTACAAAATGACTCTAAAGTAGCTCCATCAGTACCACTCAGTACAAGAGGAGGAGTTTCCCATTCTAACCAGCCCTGTGTGATTTCTTCACTGCACCCAACTAGGAAACTTTATTTTCAATTATACATTTATGTGTATGTATGTGTCTTCATTTCTCATGTAAAACATGAAGTTTCTAACTATGTGAATTATAGTTTTTTAGAAGTGTGAAAGCCACTATTCTGGACACAAGCTTAGTAATCAGCCATGTACTGCACCTACAAAGAGGGCAGACATTTGCCTGAACGGAAGGAAACATGGCTAGCTAAACTAGCAAGAAAGGCTTTAAACTATTCTTGGGGTTAAAAAATGAAAATAAGCACATCTTTATGAGCTGTTAAAAGATAACCTCCCAATAAAATTAGAAATAGGAAGGGTAAAGGAAGGAATGAAAGACATCTATGAAGCAACAATTTTTTAAAAAATTGGGGAAACTATTGCACTTGAGCTGCGATATAGTCAAATTTCTGTTTTAGTACACAGAGTAAATAATCTTAAACAACAACAAAGTACTTTAAGGGTCATATTGTTAAGGCTAGTAGCTATGAGACAAAACCTTAGGGACAGAAGGGGCTACCTAGCCATATGCATGAGAATTATCTTTCATTTTGTCACTTTTCACCTCATAACTTAGAGGAACTCAAGGAAAATTTCTTGCTTTTGATTGGTTAATAAAAAAATCAACACCCACAATGGAAACTGATTCATAATCATTACATAATAACTAGAAGTTTAAAAGGTATACACAGTCATTCCTCCACCTGTGGAAAGTTTGTTCCAAGACCCTCTATTTTCCCTATTAGGATACAAGAATCCTCATATTATAAGAAAAAGCAGAGCATTTGCATATAATTGATTCATATCACCATTTCTAGGATATTTACAATGCCCCAACTAACGTAAATGTTACCTAAAAAAATAGTTGTTACACTTCATCACTTAGGAGAAAATGATAAGATGAAAAAAAGACTCTACATATGGATTAGAGACTCAAGCATCCTGGACCTAATTAGCTTTTTCTGTGCATGGTTATTTGAATGGCAGATGTGGAACCCAAGGATTCAGAGGGTTGACTGTATTTCCTCCTGGGTAAAAGATGCCTACAAAGTGAACCAGAAGTATTTCAGTCAGTGCCAGCAAGGAGAAGAGGCTGGCTTTTCTTATCTCAACCAACACTTTCTGCTTTATGCTCATGTTTATTTGGAAAAACTCAAAAGGAGGCACAAAAAGCAACTGAAACTGGCTGTAACAAACACAGCTTTACTATCTTTAGAGCACTGAGAGGACTACAGCCTTATAGCAGGGCATAGGCCACAGAAGTCAAGAAACTGTATTCTCCCCATTTATGAGACCAGGCCTGGGGAATGGAATCTGGGGGAGAAATAACACTTCTTGAGGGCTGACCACAAGTTTTCAGTTTCTTTGACCTTAGTAGGTGTTATGGTTTGTGTCTGGA